CCCCCCCCCCCCCCCCCCTCATGTGGCGGGGCTCCAACCTCGGTCGACCTTCCACCCACCTCATTTTTAGAACTACAAAATTCAACGGGGTGGGGTCGCCGGCGACTTGAATCCAAGACGGAAAACCAAGACACAAAATTACCACCCACCACCCAAAAAAAAAGCCACGACGCTAGAAACCCAGGGACGTGTCTGGTACAACGGGCACGAGGTTGCTGGGCCCCCGTAAGTGCGTTTCAAATCCGCGCCGCCCAGGGTAGGCCGCACTGGCTCCGGCCGGCCGACCCGCCAACGCCGCCGATTTGTTTGTTGTCACTCTCATCACTACCGGAAGGTGGAGGGAGTTCTCCTGACAGTCTCGAGGACGTCCCCGAAAGATTGACGTTTCGCGGGGTCTTGCGCCCAGGCATTCTGAAGTGTTGCAAGGGAGAGAGGGGGGGGGGAGGGGGCAGAGGGGGCAGAGAGGAAGGGAGAGAGAGATAAAGAGAGAGAGAGAAAGAGAGAGAGCAGAGGGGAGGGAGGGAGAGGGTTGTGTTTCTTCGCCGTGTCAATAGGAAAAGGAGGACAACATCTTCTGCGGTCGTTCGACACCGGAGAGAGGGGGAGGCCGTGCACCGAGAAAACAAACACCCACATCCCACCATGGCCAAGAGACTGGTCAGAGCACTAGCCGCTTTGACTGCGAAGGTTACGAAGCGCCATGATGGTGGTGAAGGTTACAGCAACCAACGCGGAGAGACTATCGCTACCGTACTGGTGAAACCACACCAAGCAAACAGCACAGAAAGGGGGCACGCACGCACGCACAACCGTATTTTTCTGCGAGAACTTTGCACCTAACGGGAGACTGGACTGGACCCCCCCCCCCCTCCCCCTGTCAAAAGTATTCTACGCGGGCATCTCGTGGACTATACAAAAAGGCGATGGCGTCAAGAGGCCTTTCCAGCTATGATAATAATATCCATGCCTCACCATTGTGCCGGTAAGAGCGGCCGACGATAATCAGAGACGCACATACGCGCAGAGACAGAAAAACACACACCACTGGCTCGCAAAGGGTGGGCACAAGACTGGTGCCTCCGAACACAACCCACCTCACAAGGCCTCACCACACCTGCCTGAAACATGAACCGAATCGAAAAAAACAAGGCAAAAAAAAACACCAGCATATCCGCCGTTGTTTGCCTCGAAACCGAGTACTTGGATGTATGGATGCATACATGACATACCTCGATCAGAGCCGCAAACTCTCGAGGGCACCATTCGGGGATGTCGGGTCGCAAGCTTTCGTTC